TTAATAATAATTACATATACTTAAGACACATTAAGATTGATTACAAACAAAAGAAGACACTCGTAAAAAACAACAACAACACAAATATACGTTATGTTTACATAAAAACCAACACCAATAAATAAACATTAAAAAAAAGAACCAAAATTATCGTAAAAAAAGAACTTAGTTTTATAAAAGCATTACATAGTAAGACAAAAAAACATTAAAGTTTTAAACAATTGTTTGACAAAAAAAACGAGAGCATTAAAATTAAGAAGTACTTAAACATACTAAAAATGTAAGCTGGAAAAATTGAAAAAAAAACTCAAAACTCCAATATTTGCATTGATCATATTAAACATTTCCATTAATATTTCACACCAACGCATTCATTCATTGTCATTTCATTAGTTTATAGTTACATATATTGTATTGTTTCACATTAATTTCATATGTTCATTTATAGTTATTTTAAAAGAAAAGAACATAAGATTATTTTTATTATTATTATTATTACTTTTGAATACAAAATGAAATTTTAAGTTCCCATTATAATCATAATAATAAAAACACATTTAGTTTTTTTATTTTATTATTTTTAAATTATTAATAAAGATTTTATTTAAAACAAAAATCAAATAAATATTTTCATTTCATTTACAAATACTAAATTTCGGAAGGTTAAAATTTTTATGTCAACAAAATTTTATTTTCGCACAGGGACTGAAATGACACAGGCATGACGTAATAGCACGTTTATATGCCTAATATTTGCCAGTGTTTACCGTGAAAATTGGTCATTCACAATAGATTTTGTCATATGTTTTCCATAGTCAAATTTCTTGTGACTGGTCAATTGTCGGTTGAAGATTTGCATCTAAACGTAGTTTGATGTGATTTCAAAAACCGCAGGTAATCATCTAGACGAGTTAACCAGCTTATTGTGTTTGTATGAAAGATGAACATACAGTAAACAAAACGTAAACATTTTTTGATATTTTATCCGATGGATATAAAACCTTGTTATTACGCCATGGTGGAAAACATACGTTGATTTTATTGTGAATAGTTTATTATCAAGGTTCAATGTTTCAAAAACATTGCATGTAAAAGCGCTATAAGAGGATGAGTAGCACATAACACGTTTGCACACAAAATATGGCGCAATCAATAGGTACTGATTTACCGAAGCGGAAATCATAAAAAATTTTACTACTTGAATTTATTGAGAACGAAAATAGATTGTTTGGTTTTTAAAAAGGCATTTACTTGTTTTATTAGTTTTGACATTATTACTAGTTTTTAGTTTCTTACATTCTGTAATAATTATAATTTTCCCCAACTTGAATTTATTGAGAAGAAAAATCGATTGTTTGATTTTGAAGAAGGCTTTTACTTGTTTTATGTACCCATTTGTGGGTCATATTGTCATCTAATTTTGACATTTTTACTAGTTTTTAATTTTCTTACTTTCTGGGCAAGGAAGTTCTCGCAACGCCAATTTCACTTTTCTCCCTTTTACTAGTTTTACCATTAAAGACGTACGGGAATACAGCAAAACTCTATTTAGTTGGGTTGTATCAATTAGGTCACATAGGTTGCATTGTCTTGAGAATTTCAGTCCAAGTGTTTTTGTCTATTTTTAATTTTTTACCCACAAATTAAAATTCAATTAATTACCTTCTTTAACAAAAAACGATATGTTTAGATTACGAACACTCTCCCAAAATAAATTATTTAGCATTCATAACACTCATAAAATATACCAAGTTAAACAGAAATACACATATTTTAGAACAGAGCCTATTTAGAGCCAGAACAAACAAAAAATAAATCCCATTCTTTTTAAAGAATTTTAAAACAAAATAAGAAACTCAAAGGAAAAAATTGTGGAAAATTTACAAAAAATGCATATCATAGCTGTAAATTATGAAATTTAAAAACAAATACACCACAAACACACTCACTACATACATACATTTATCCATTTACCACAATAAAAATTATACTACTATAATTTTTCCAGCAAAAATAGTAATTCGACAAAGGCAAATCGAAAACAAAGCAAAAAATAAAAACAAAGAAATTATAAGGATCAAGGTTGCAAATTTAGAAGAGAAGCTAATAAGAAAAAAAAGAAAACAAATTAAAAAAAAACAAACCTAAACATATTTAGATGATGAAAAACCTCAGAATTATGGACAACAACAAAAAAAATCTATACATACATATACACATATTATTATATATGAAAACAAATAAATACCTTTAATAACAAAAAGAAAAATGCGCCGTATTGATGAAGCTAAAAACAAAACAATTTACTAAATTACAAAACCAACATCAACCAGAAGTAATGAAACAGATTTTTATTGTAAAGAAAACGAGTTACGTTTTTTCTACACATATATTTTATTTTTTGCATAAACCGAAAACATAGTTATAAACAAGAAAACCAAAAAAAAAACATATATTGAAAAAAGAAAATACCAAATTACAAAAAAAAGATTTTGAAAACCAATAAATATTAAAATATAAAAAAGCAAATAAATGTCGGGGTTTTATTCATAATTATGACGAAGTTTGGCTTTATCAAAGGAATTTATGAAGTTAATCTATTATTGCGTGGTCAGTACCTCAACATATAAAACCAACTCTAATCGGTTTGGTTCATTTTCCTCCAAGAATTGTTCAGCAACTTCTTTTGCAGAGAGTACAAGCACGTTTACATATAAATCTTTGACCAGGTTAAACCTGTTAATTGGTCAATAACAATAAACGCTGTGCACAAATAATAAGTACAGTGGATTCCAACTGTCAATTCCATTATCCATCAAATAATTTTTTTTTCATGACATTTATTACATTATTCATGACTAAACCGAAAAGTAGCATAAGCATTTTATTTGATAACATTATAATCTTCGGTCAAACTAAAATAGATTTCAAAGAAGTAAATTCAACTTATATATTATTAAACTGATGATACATCTGATACAGTTTCTACAGAACAGAACATCCCTGTATATTACAACAAATTCAGGAGTTGAGACTTTCTTAAATCACGCTGATCTTACTGGTAAATGTACTTGTTACTTCTAGGTAGCTCTTCTTTGATTTGCATGGGTGATTTTAAACTTCCTTATGTATCGTGGGTTTCGCGTGATAATAAATTAGATTATTTTCCGTCCACTTTGTTTTCGACGCTTATCCTTAAATTCTTATCCCAAAAAGATTTCTGATCTTTGTTTATACATATTGTTTAAGCAAATTTAATATTGAATGTTGAGGAACGAATCGAAATAAGAATTACACAAAAATTAATCAACAGATAATCAAACACTGCTGATTGATATGTTGGGTTATTTGTAAACTCTCACTAAAAAGCAGTCAACAGGTTTCTTTAACACAAGCGACTTCCAGCATCAATTTGTTTTAAGTAACATGATAAAGTGACAATAAATTAAATTTTTGTTTATTCTCCTAAGGGAAAAAATTGTATTAAAATTTGCAAAGTACACAAAATCATTTCCATTTTCAAATTCGATACAACATATGGTTGAATTTTCTCAACGTTATTGGACAAATTTCTCCCTCTAACACCAAAGTTAATATTTGTCTCTCGTAGCGTATGCAAAAATAGTGGGAATGCCAATGGAACTCGCAGGCTCCCGATAAATAAAGTTCGTGAGCTCCTCACGAGCAAAATATATTCAAATTTTGTAAATTTGTGTCAAATATGATTTTTATTGAGAACAAAAATTAATTACTTTCTTACTACTTTTGTTTACGATGTGGGAGTAACAGATCAACATTGTAGCCTCACAATCAAATATTTTGTGGACAAACAAACACGTACAATATTATATTTACAATATTAGAAAAGATTGGCAAATATAACTATGTACGAACGATTTCAATTAAAATGACAAGCTTTATTTTAATCTGCTTGTACATTCAAGAAAAAATATTTTTATGTTTTGTACATAATTCCGCTCTTTTTATTTAGCTAATATATTTTGGCGAAAAATTCGCATTTCTTTACAAAAAAAAAAAAAACTATCAAGAAAAAACTATTAACTTTTATTTACCATTTAACTTTTTCTGTAAAAAAAAAAACAAAAATGAGCGTACAATGTTTTAAGAAAATCTTGCCTAGCCTGGGCCTAGGATATTATGGTAAGCCTTACATAAGATTTACCCAAACAAAAAAACAGAAAATTCCGAATTAGAAAAAATAGTATATTTTTAAGTTCTAGTCATAGTTGGCGAAAATAAATTGTATCCCATAATTAATTTGTGTTGTTTTAAATGTTGTGTTTCTGTGTATAAATTAATTAGCTGCATGTTTATTTGTTATTTATTCCATTATTGGCCTTCATAATTTACCAATAGATCTTCCCACATAGCTATCACATATTTGAAATTAAACAATCAACTAAAATTGCCTTTTGTTTCTTTTTGTCTTTTTATTTTTATTTTACATTCCAGCTTTTGCGAAATTTTGGCATGGCTACCAGATGTCCCACACCATTTGCTTTCCCCTTTACCCCATTGGGTTTGAGTCTATTCGATATTGATCCGTCCAGAATTTTGACAATGTTACACCATCAAACTTGGCTGGCAGAAGAGGCTTTAAGGTGAGTATGACTGTTTTTGGAGACATTGTCTGCAGTTAATTCTACTTTTGAAATATTCTTTATAGAAATCGCGGTTTACTTACACCACCACCAACAACTTCAAAGGATTTCTCCCACCGCTATAATCCTTTAAGCGATTTACTTTCCAAAGATTATCATCCAAGTCATATGCATCATTTGAACACTGCCGATCTACAAACTAGATCATCTTCATCATCTACCCCATCCAATATGGGTGGGGTGGGACCAAATGATTTGGTTAGCAAACAACAGCAACACCGTTCCATACCACAGCAACAGCAGTACAAACAACAACCACCTTTCAATATACGTTATCCGTCGCCAAGTGCATTTTTCCATCACCAGCAACAACAACAGCAGTCCACCCATCTATCCCAACAATTACAGCCACAGAAGCTAATTAAACTAAGTAGACAAAATACACCATCGCCGCATCAATCCAACACTAGTGGTCCATTACACAAAATCTCCGAACGTTCTGTGACACCCTGCCACCCCAGCAAGGAGGACAATGACAGCGATGCCCCAATCGAGATGACAACAACCCATCATGATGAGGCAGCAGCCATACGGGATCGTGACAGTGGCAATTCGAGTGCAGCCACCACCAGTTCCATTACCTCGTCGATGATTTATAAGGATTCCTTAGAGCAATTATTGCAGCGTCGTCACTCCGGACCAACACTGGCTGCCGAGGCCGGATTGAAGACTTATTCGCAAATTTTAATGAACTCCAGCACTCCAACGGATACCTCAAGTTGTAAGGAGAAAAGCTCCTCTTCATCTACCTCATCTACACCGCCGCCAGCTCCTGGAACGCCAGGTCAACTTTCACTTAGCCGTAGTAGTATGCTGAAAAGTCCCTCGGATACCTCATCGCTGTTCAGCGAACCCATCGAAGAGGAGACGCGTTGTGTGGTGTGCAATGCCCATTTTCCAAATGTTTGGCTGTTGGAACAGCATGCAGCCCTGCAACATCCCCTATTGGGACCAGGTGAGGAAAAACCTTTTATTTGTGAACAATGTGGTCAATCCTATCGATATCGTTCAGCTTATGCCAAACACAAAGAAACCAATCATCGTTCGCGTCTACCCGCTGACAAACTTTTCACATGCGATGTCTGCGGCATGCAGTTCCGTTACTTGAAATCATTCAAGAAGCATCGTCTAAATCATGCCCTTGAACGATTGCATGGCAAGAAGGGTAAACATCCATTTGCCATGCATCTACATCAGCAAATGCAGGAACATGAAATGATTAGCGGTGGACAGGAATCGTCAATGGGTGTGATGGGTCCAGAAGTCGATGTAGTTGAAGATTTGCGCATTAATATCAAAAAGGAACGAGAGGATGATGATTCTCAGCAACAACAACACCCACAAAGGCATGATAATGAACAGAATGATGGCATTGACTCGACCAGAGTCCAAGCCCAGACCAATACGAATGAGCCGAACATTGAATGCTCTGATGGAATACATAGTACAAATAAGAGGGTAAGTTTTGGGTGTAGTAGTGTAAGATTAAACAGATTTTCAGATCTTAAAATGACACTTTCTTCCATTTATAGCAACGCCTTCTTAATGCTCCACCACCATCCCACATGGAAACCGATCCCTCCTATCATCATATATCGCATCAACTTTCTTCGATTCCTACGTCACACCAGCAACAACAGCATCACTCACAGCACCATTTGCCACCACATCATCATCATTCACATCTTAACTCTCAACTGCCTGGGCATTTGGCCCACAATATGTCAGCTATGGCAGCAGCTGCCGCTGCAGCCACAACGCCCCAGCATCAACAACAAATTACGCCCCAAACAGCCCAGCAGGCTGCTGTGGCAGCTGCAGCCGCGGCTGCAAATTCAATGAATTCCTTAAATTCACTCAACTCAATAACTTCTCTCATCAATGCTGAGCGCTTGCCCAATGAACAGTTTTTGGGTTTAAATCCGCAGGAGGCATCGATATTGAATTTTCTACGTGTTGATGCTCAAGAAAGGCAACGTGACAAAAGGTAAGTCCTCATTTTTTTAATTCTCTTTATTTTAATGTTATTAAATTTGATTTTTATGAAGCAGACCTCCAGCATCTCGTTTCGCCTGTCCCTTCTGTGGCAAATGCGTGCGTTCCAAGGAAAATCTGAAACTACACGTACGCAAGCATACTGGAGAAAGGCCTTTCGTTTGTCTCTTCTGTGGTCGTGCCTTTGGCGGCAAATCCGATCTGACACGTCACCTGAGAATCCATACCGGTGAGAGGCCTTATCACTGTGAATCATGTGGCAAGTGTTTTGCTAGAGCCGATTATCTGTCTAAACATTTGACAACACACATACACAATGCTCCACGCTGAGATGAGGTGCGAAGGAGACGACTCCTTCGCCGCTAGGTGTTTGGTATTTTTCAAACCTGCCGCCGGCCTAGAACAACATCAACAACAACATTCACAAGCAAATATCAAAGGTTATGTGGAGAGAAAATAAAAAAGGATTCTTGAATAATACGTAAGAACTTTGGTATCTACAACTACATACATAGAAATAAACATACAATTATACACTTACGTAACATACATAATACTAGGAACGTCTATTTTCCAATAGAAAACAGACTAAACACCGGAAAATGTTCTGTCACGAATGAAACAAAACTAAAACTACCAACTTTGTTCAAATTTTGAGGCGTATTTACAGGTATCTTAAATTAATCTATTAATTTTTAAACCAAGATGTTTACATAATATTGAAGTTTAATTTTAAGTTCTAAATTGTGTTTTGTTCTAAGTGGAATTTATTTGAGGCAAATTATCAAGTTTTTGTCCTATAGTTTTTTTCTTAACTTCTTGGGCACGATTTTTAGTTCATGTGGGAACAAATAATGGGTATTATTTTCTTATTTTTTTAAATTTAGGAACATATATTTTATAGGGTTGTTACTAATTTTCACCCAATGTTTTCTGGATATAATATTCTTAATGATAGAGTAATTATAATTATTTATTGAGAACAAAAATTAATCGATTTTTAGAATTTGGTAATGAAAGTATGAAATGTCAAAAAAAAGAACCAAGTCCAGTTCGGGTATTATAATCTACCGCCATTTGTTTGGAATTCATTTTAATTTTTTTACACCGATTTTTCACGCAAAATAAATAGTACATGACCTAATAATGATAAAACTCTAAACCAGGGCCAAGATTCCCAATTTAATGTTCTTTCAATTTGTTACTCTCATTTTACATTGTTTTTCAATGGTTCTGATGGAGAGTGTGGAAAGAATTACGCTCATTCAGGGCACAACTTTCCTTTATCTCAAGGAATACTTTAAATGTTCGGAAACGGGTTGCGGATTTGTACAAGTAAATCAATCTTTCTTAGTTTCTTGAATATTTTTGCTATAGAAGTGCCCTTTCGGTTATATTTTCATACATTTCACCAGGGCTGGATTGATTTTTGACATTTTAAATAAAAAAAAAAAAACACTTTAGAAATTTTAATTTTGAGATAGAAACCATAAATTTAAATATAATTGAATATTTTAGTTTAGAAAATGGCTTAAAAATTTAATTTATCTTTTTGTTTTGGTGCTGGATTATTTTTTGATTAAGAATTAGAAAAGGAAGGATAAACACAAAAAAGTCAAAATATTTCGAAATCAAATATTAAAACTAAAGAAAAAACACATCACAGTTGAGAGTTTTCTTTTCATGAGGATGAAAACAAATCAAAATCTTGGTTTCACAACTTATAACTTAGATTGTAAAATCTTGAATAGGAAACATAACCTAAAAACTGAGTATTAAATACTATCACATAAATACATTACAAATTAAAGAAGGTATACATATTTAGTTTAACAAAATTTCATAGCATATTCGAACACAACCAGCCAGAAACTATTTTGGGTGGAAGGCCATGTAAACGATTTGGATTGTGGCTTTCCACCTTAACATAACCTTCATAATCTGCCGTTTATTTTTTGTTTTGTTAAAAGAAAAGTTTTAAGAAAACAACAAAACAGATAATGCAAACAATTAATAAAAATAGCCTTAAACAAATAAATCAAATACAAACCTATATCACAAATGATATATTTAAAAAAAAAATAGCGAAAATTTACAATAGTATAAAATACATCTTTTTTTAGTTTCTTAATAAGAACAAACAACTACAACAACAAATATGCAATAATTGGTTTATTTTTTTAACTAATCATATTATATACAAGCAACAACAAAAAAATATTGTTAACTATTTTATAACAATACACCTAAATTGTTTACAAAACAAACAAACAAAAAATAGCAAAAAAGAGGCATAGCAATAGTTAAATTTTACTATATCTACAAAAACAATAACAAAATAAATAGAACAATCACTTGTATTCTTTATACATAATAATATACATACATACATTTTTTCTATCATTTATTGTAATTTATAGTTTATAGTTTTATTTTTTTTTAATTTTTGTATATAAACATATATTTTATTTGCAAATATCTTATTTTGTTTTACAAAACTCACATAATAGCCGTAATTAGGAAACTACAAAATGAAACCGTTTCTGAAACGACAAAACCCGCCAACGCCAATAGTAAAATTTATTTCTTTTGTTTGTTTTTTTAACAATAGTTAAGTTTTCAATGACCAATCAAGCAATTTTTTGTTTAATTAATCAATAGCTATACATGCGAAAATATAACAACAAAATCTGTGATTTATAATGCAAGAAACTTAAATCAAAAAAAAAAAAATTAAAAGTGAAGAAGATCACACAACCATCACACAATAGAGAAAATTTAAAAATATTTTTTTTTCGTTGATTTTTTTACAAAATAGAAATGTTGAGTCAAAATGTTAAAATAATTAAAGCTGGTCTCAGAACTTCAAAACTATGTGTATATTTATCATTGAAATGGGAAGCACCGCCACGAACATCATATTTACAACTCTCTGTGTAAACTACGAGTCTTTGATTGTAGTATATCCCCCTCTAAACATGGTGCAATATCATGAACCATACATGGAAGAAGAATACAGGTAGTCGCATAGCATGGTAAAAGAAAGACATTGATATGTCAAAATATTTAAATGGTGTTTTTTCCATAACCAAGTACATTTTTATAAGTTTTCTCATACGACACCATTCGCAGGTTTTTAGATATGTAATTTTCAAAAATTTTTACATTGTCAAACCAATTTTCTACTTCAAAATTGGTTTGACACTTCATTATCCCAGCAGCTGTGTCTATGCGGCTATCTGTATTATTCTACTACGAGTTAACCCGGATATAATAATTTGCTATATGAGCCATTTAAGTCTTTAAAGTCTGAGGATTTTTTCAAAATTATTCATTTGACAACATCTTATTGTCAAAATATTTATAGATCCATTGCACATGGTCTGAGGCAATGTTGAAATTGGAGCGTTTTTCTATGGTAGTTGGACCATCAAATGATGCACATAGCAAGAGAGAAAGAGAGACAATTTATTTTAAACTCCCCATTTTGATATAGAAAACCACAGAGTTGTTTGTGCATGAAGTGTATGTCAGTGGTGAAGCTCTCTAACTCATATTTTGAGTAACCGACAAAATACCGGTAAAATTAAAATGCTTAGAATTTCGGCAAGTTAGCGACCAAAAAAAAATAGTCGTTCCGATAGTAACAGTGCTGTCAACTTTAATTTAGACTTTTTATTCATATTTTAGAGTTTTAGTTTTACCGATAATTGTAAGTAATTCAAAAAATAAGTGAGAGGATCCCACTACAATTCTGTTTTAAAACAGTTCCTACATTTTTTCATACATTTTACGCAAAATTAATAATTACAGAGTTTTCTATTAAGACGTGTTTGCTTTAACATTAAATTAAAGATCTCCAAATAAGATTTTGACTCAACATTTGACAATTTTAAAAATTATTTAATAATAATTTTAAACAACCCACTGAAAACCAACAATATTTCCTGCTTTTAAACAATAATAAAAAAACAATATTGAACCAAGAACATCGAATTAAAACTAAAAAAAAAACATATATATAAATAAATTAATAATAGAAAAAAATCAAACAATATGAAATAAGATGATAAAATCAAACACACATTTTCCGTACCAATGAATTGATTATTTTTATTTTGTTTTGCAAAAACTAATACACTACAAAAAAAACACAAATGTGTAATTACAAAATCAAAAGCTATAAAATCGTGAAGAAAAACACAATTCAAATGAAAGAAACAACAAAAAAAGTAAAACTTTCACTGTGCCAAAAATATAAAAGTACCTCATAAACATAAAAAAACAACAAAGCAGAAACTAAAACAACAACAACAAAAACCATAAACATACATACAATACAAAAAAATGTATAATTGCATATATTTTTTAAAAAGTGACAGAAATTAGGAATGCAGGATAGAAGAAAGAAAACAAAACATGAATGTTCACTTATTTACGTTTTAAATTACCTAATTTAGCTTGGAATTATTTTCGTTTTTAATATATATTTTTTATTTTGTAACACATATTTTATTTATAGAATAACAAATTCACCCTAAACAACTTGCCTCAACTTGACGATTACTTAAAGTCACCTGGCCACATATTAATTTAGCACAGCAAATTTAAAAAACTTATGAAACTGGTATCTAAAGCGTACGTCCTTTATGTTTTTTGAGGAACAAAGTTGCTAAATCAGAATTTTTATAAATAAAAACCAAAATGCGTAAAAATGGTTCCGTATGTTCGCTCTTCACAGTTTTCTTGGCAGAAAAATAAAGAAAAACAAACCTACTACAGAATGAAATCGCTCTGCAATTCTCGCGGGAAAAGTAACCAGACAGAGCTATTAAATTTGTCTAATTACCCTAAAATTTGTAACAATTGTTACTGGAAGTCCTCTGATAACCAAAAATAAAGAGAGCGCTTAGAGAGAACATTTCGTACAGTTCGTTTGTTGAGAGTAGGGAAATTGAATTGAAAAATTGCTGTTATCGATAACTGTCGTTGACTAGTTAGCATGGTAGAACAATGCAGGTAGATGCATCAAGGCTTGGGGAAATTGATGTGTCAAAAAAAGATTTGGATTTGTATATGTTTTCCTATCGGAGGTTGTTATGATAACCATTTATTAAAGAATTTTTAATAATTTTGAAATGAAAACCGCTATACGAAGACGTGCCCCTGCATAAGTAAATTGTGTCACAGTTTAAAAAAATTCCGGTGAATAATGTCGTAAAATGATGAAAATACCGAATATCTGGGGGATCGTTATATGGGCGCTATACTAAAACGTGGACCTATTTAGACAATTCTCTTCTAGGGGGTAAAGTACTCACTAGGAACTCCTTGTGTGAATTTTCAGACAATTTCATTAAACAAAAAAAATTATCAAAATACCGAATATCGGGGGATAGCGTTATATGGTGGCTATACGATATCGTGAGCCTATACAGATATTTTTTTTCCAGGGCATAAAGTGCCCACGAGGAACTCCTTGTGTGGATTTTCAGTCAATTCCATTGCAAAATATGCCTAAAATCAATGGAATGACGAATTTGTTATACCCTCTGTACTATGTTGGCGAAGGGTATAAAAATAGGTTTCACAGTTCATTGACCCAACAGCTGTGTGAATGCGACAACTGTATTCTTCTGTCATGCTAGTTAGAGAATCGTACT